AAACTCTGAAGCTCCCCAAGAAATGGGCACACTAGTCCGCTAGGCACTCCCCTGGAACTACACACCAGCTTCTTAGATAAAATTCATTTTTATTTCACCTAAGCTGCTCAAACATTTGACTTGTCTCACTTACATTAAAGACCCGTCAGCATTTATTTCTGCAGCTGGGAAGTACGTGCCAGGACAACCTGGATGAAGCTCGGGTGCGCCTCCAGTCTAATAACCCTTTCCACTTCCACACTTACAGCTAAGAAACCTGGTAAAATTTAGGTAAGCAGGACCCATGCCTGACACAGCATTTTCTATCTAGCTGGTGGCAGTGGCTTCATAAACCTGATGCAAGCTGTTGTCTCCAGAAGAAACAGTCTGCATTCGTTACCAATTTATCATGAAAAACCATCACAGAATTTCGGCAATTTTAGGTACAGAGCTCTGAGCAACCAGATGAATAAATCAGAATACCCTGTTTGAGAGGTGCCCCAGTTACATTCTGCTTCTCATGACCTAGCAAGGTGGCACTGTTTAAAATTGAGCATTCTTACGGGGTGCCGTCAATCAATGACTTTTACAGAAAAGATGTCTCAAATCATTGTTTCTATGCTTTGATGCTAAACTCGAACAAGCACTTACCCATTCGAGAACTGAAATCAGGGCCACCTGAGGGCGGAATCCAGGTCTTGTTCGCACCGGTATTACCTAGGCGGGAGCCTGGGACATGGTAGATGAATCGAAGATTATTTAATCTGTAGTTAGTACAGTAGACTCGAAGGTGTCATACCGCAGGTCCTACCGTAGCCCACCTCAGTGGGGAAGTGAACAAAACAACACAATTTCGGGTTTTAACTGTTCCTGCCAGCATATCCTGAAACATGGATCCTTCCCTCGACAGCCTGAAATAGCACTGCAGCTGCAGTGAGGGGTGCGTCGCACTTACTGGCACGGCTTCCTGGCAAATGCTTCTTCCACCCCCCCGAGCCCCAGCCCACTGGGCAGGGCAGCCATCTGGGGGACGACTGTGGTGGGAGGTGCACGCAGAAAAGGCTTCCCAGGCAGCTCAGAGAGAACCGAGAACCACTGGCTTGAAATAATTGTACCGCAGGTAGTTCACGGTCAGCCGTGCGCCTCCCGCGGAAAAAGCCCGACGGAGGGGCCACAGCCTGCCTTCCGGAAGATTCTCCAAGCTTAATCCACCACGAAGTCAAATCTGGCTAATCTCTGAATAGCTCTTACAAAACTGGCTCGCCTCGTCTTCAAAGGTTGATATAAACGGCCCAAAGTAGAACTCCTTCATCTTTTATGATGCAACCCAAATCAGCGCTGCTCCCCTTTAAGAACCACGTGACAGTATGTTCAGTTCAACAACGTTCCCCACGGGAACACTGACTAGCAGAGGGCCGGTGTCCGCGGCCCGTTTGGAACCGAGGACAGTTTTCCTATTCAATGAGGGAACATCCCTCAGCCTAGATCTTCAACATTTCTCTTCCCTCATCTTTTCTCTCATTTCTTGGCTCATAGAATTTCATTCTTGTCCTAATGGGCTTCATTTTTAATGTCTGTCTGCCATAACCTACTTCAGATTCTCTATGAAGTAGGCAGGCTCTGCACAGCAAATTAATTTTTCAGGACCCGCTTCTTATCATCATAGAATTATGAATGGAAAATAGTAGATGAAAAACACAGACATGATGAATTTAATATAGTATTTATTAAGGTCGGGATGCATGAATAGACTCTTCTCAACACAAAGATAATTCAACAGCAACCAATTTATAGAATTTACAACGGTACTACATTTCAGCAGAAAGCAACTGAGGACGTCAGATAAATTAATTTGTTTTTTTTTTTAAATCCATTAAATTATATCTCTTACCTCTGCAATAACGTATCATACATGCAGTTAAAGAAGTTAGCAGGGAAAAGTGTGATTGTCCTTCCCCACTCTCTGCCCATCCATCTTCCAGGAAACCACAGGCTGTTGCTGAGCAGACTTGGCATGAGGCTTCGAGGCTGCTGCTTTTCCCCCTACATCATAACCGATTTCAAATGGTGCTAGACAAAAACAGACTCTGAACACCAGGAGAAATCGGTCAGCCTGTGTAAGAGATGGGCCAGCGGTGCTCCTAGTGTCTGCGCCTTGACACTGCAGGTGGCGACCGAAGCTGAACACTCCAGGGCATCCTCTAGGAGCAGGCCGACAGTGTCGACGTGGTTGGAACTGTCCTCTGGTCCCTGCCCCGTTACAGCCAATACCCAATACATCGTTACCCGACGGAATAACACAGTCACCACGCTCAAAGGCCCTACCAACATGCCGGTGCTAGTGGCGGCTGCCAGCAGTCAACAGAAAGCATCGCAACCTCTGCCCCTGCTCAAGCCACTGTGTTTATTTTAAACACAACCCCCTCCCCCACTGTCACCCCTCCGAAGACCCAGCATACTCAAGAGCGTATTTCGCTTTTCCAGTTCTTCCCTCGACTCCTTGAACAGGCTCAAGAGGCAAGAGGAGGGAAGCCAGTCCCGTGAGCGTCGGTTCCTCTGCGGTCCGCCCTCCACTGTGCTGCAATTCTTACTCCTAAAACACTGATTTCAAATGGTGCTAGATACAAAGATGGAAAAATCTAAGCCACCATGTGAAACCAGCTTCCAGAAGAAGAGGATCTCACTGAAGAAAGAAGGGAGATGCGCTCGGAAGACCCAGCCTCTGCCCTGGGGAGAAACGTCTTCTTGCGGTTCTACTTGTGACGTGACATAATGCTCCATCAGAGAGGACAGTGACACAGCAGCTCAAAGCAACATGAAAGTCACAGCTTATGCTTCAAACAGATGAGAGCGATACAAAACTCATTAATTCCAGGATGATTCTATTTAATGTCACAACCAGTCACTATAAATTAAATTATTATATATATGATGAAATAGAATAGCCAAAGCTATTATTAAAACACATTAACATTTACATTCATACTGCCCTGCATGTGTACACTATTTCCCAGCATGCACAGTGTTTCCAGACACATCGTCTGACTTCATCAGGACACAAGCGCCCTACCTCCCTATGAGGCCCTAGTCCAGCCACTACGCAAAGGTGAGTTTCCCCTGGGCCAGGGCAACTCCTTTATGGGACCTATTCTGGAAGAGTTTGGGCCACTCCTTCCCACTCCATATGTGAGTATCAGAACATTTAAATGGGAGCCTGCTAGTTGGCAATCTTATTTAACCTCTGATGTGACTTAAACAACTGGTATCCTATAATTATATTAAGCAGATAATCCTCTAACACAAGAATTGAGTTTTATTTTCAAAATCTGTCTGAAAATAAGACTTGAACACTATGTTCCAAATTAGATTTCCCATCTCCTTAACCTTAATGCATCATCTTTTTTGGTTATTTGAGGCTAAGAAAGTATGTGTATTTCCTGTGATAACATAACCAAGAGAAAGAGGAGACAGAGTAGAAGCTGTATCTTTAGGTTCCCTACCAATTCTTTAGGCCTCTAAACATAGGCTTTTATTTTTTTTTAAGGCTCCTGGCAATAACAGTATGGTATATGTTGCCATAGGGAAAAGAAGAAAATAAAATTTGAACATCAAGAGTTGTGCTATTTAATTCTCACGACAGTCCTATGAAGCAGGTGTTATTCCAGTTTTTGCAGGAGAAGAAAATGCTCCTTCGTGAGGCTAAATAACGTGTCCACAGCTACCCAGCCAGTAAATACAGCTCCCAGGTCTAACTCCAAAGTCTCTGTTCCTGCCCCTCTGCCCACCGCTGCCTGTGCCACAGCCTAGCATCTCATTTTGTTCTTGAATTTAATTAAGAACAAGATTGACGGGGGGAGATTCCTAGGCAATATTTCTGCCTGAAAGTGGAGCAATACTGTCTATAGTAACGTGCTGCAGTGGGGTGGGGACGGGAGCATGATTTGGGCGGTCGGGGGTGGTCTGGGGTAGCTGGCTGTGTCCTCCCCGGCATGCGGGAACGTGCTGGCGACCAACCTGCCCAAGCCATTCTGACACCAGCGCTAGGCTCTGCAGCCCCCCGCGGGCCTCTCCACGGCCTCAGTCACAGGTGGGAGCGCGGGGGGGGGGGGGGGCAGATCTGCACACAGGGGCTCTGAGTGATGACACCTGCTGTCAACACCTGGGCTTGTAACCAGGTAACAAGGAGTGTTTTAAGGTCAGGAGTGAGTGTTAAATGACAGTCATTACTGGGAGTCCAAATCCCATAAAATGAGGGGGTTGGATGAGATTCTCACTTTTCTGCTTCTTGATGCAGTCAAACTCTTCCTTAGCAACTTCCAATTGCCCATATCCACAAATGCCCTTCCTACGTGCCCTCACGCAGGCGTCCTGCAGTGGTCCAGAGAGCGCCCTTCCTCTCACAAGGCCCTGCCTGGGCTGTTGCCTCTTTCGGCAACACTCTCCACCCACTGGCCCTTAGTTACCACTCTTCAGCCCTGCTCCCATTCTCCACCACCCCGAGGAACCCCAGTCCCCTCCTTGTCTCAGCTCAAGAAAGCCTCTCTGAGTCCACCCGGCTTGCTAGAGGGTTAAGCGTCCAGCCTCAAGTTCTTTCCTTCAGAAGCCACTTATCTCATTTGGTCATCAGTGTGATTATTTAACTAATGTCTCTCCTGCTACCCACAAGGTGCCACCTGGAGTGCAGCGGAGGGGCTGCACGTGGCAGGGCAGCCACTGCCACGGAGGGGACCAACAGACAGAAGCCAGAATCTGGTCCCCACTCTTAGGTTCTAAAACTTTACTCTTAGCTCTCTGGAAGAAGAGGTAAGAAACCATTAGTAACGCACGACTTTCTAAAATATGAAGAGGGGAAAACAGTCATCTTAGCACCAAAATCTTTTGCCCTTCCAATTCCACTGGATAAGGGGGTCTGCTCAGGTCTCAGCCCTCCCAGTGGGACCAGGGTTCTTGCCTCTGAAAGTCAGCCAAGCAATGACTTTTCTCTTGAACAAGCTGGTGGCTTTCCCCTAGTTGGAAGTAGCCGGTTAGTCTGATAAGGGCTGGAAAGGGGGCAAGAAGCCTGAAGGCCCCTGGACCTGTCAGAAGGCAGCCCATGAAAGCCCCAGCCTGCTGACGGCTCTGCTGCCCAAGGAGGGCGAAGGGTTTCTCCCACCTCGGCCTGACTGCCCCAAACACACTGGCCGATGGTGAAGGGCTTGGCAGGGCTGCCTGGGAGAGAAAACCACCCACCCAGAGAGGACGTATGTCAGACCTGAGAGGTGCTGCCATGCCGGGAAGAGGGCTGGGGAGCCAAGCCCCAGACCCCATCCGTTTCGGTGCCCACATTCTATCTGGACGTCCTCCGCCCTCTCACGCCAGGACGCTCCTCTGTCTGGGCAGGGTAGAGGAAAGGTCACCGCACGGTGAATCGGAACACAGTGGCTTTAATTCTTGCTCAGCCCAAACTCTGAAAACAGGGACCTGCCATTTGCCCTGAATGGGCCTCAGTGTCTTCACCGGTAAAGAGAGAAGGCCGGGTAGACAGGTCGCCACACAGCCAAATGCTCAGAGGGCCTGGGCAGGAAACTTGAGAGAGAGAAGCAGCCACATGTGCAGCAGAAATACAGCGACCTGGAGAGGCCCCAGTTTGTCTAAAGGCACACAAAATCAGCTGCATTGAAAACAAACAAACAAACAAACCTGTGCAGGCCAAACGCAACACATTTGAGGGTTAAATACATTTCATGGGCCATTGGTTAAAAGCAGCCTGGAGATTGCAGAGGCAGCTTCTACTTCATTCTATAAATGATGCTTTCTATGTCTTTAAAGTCCTAAATATCTTGTGCCCAGCATGGTACCCAAAAACCAACATGGGAGGGAAGCAGGAAGGTGAGGGAATCCTTGTTTATGAAATCCAGAAGCGAACCCACTGAACAGATCTTCACCCCCAGGAACCTAATCCGGCTTGCCTGTTCTGTGCTACCACAATGTGCTCAAATCCAGAACGTGGGACGATGCCTGCCAAGGCAGCAGCTTCTCCCTCCTGACCCAGCGGGTGCTGAGTCACAGCTACTTACGTGCCCGATGCAAGTTCCAGCCAGGGTGGGGGAGGGGTGCCGGAAGCCAAGCCCAGATGGTCCGTCCTCTTGCCTCTGGGAATGCTGGTTTCAGGGTTCCTGGCAGTGAGGAAGAGATCATCTTGGTGATAGAAGGGCCTGAGGAAGGGGACACACAGGGGACCATCCTGCCCTCGAGACAGTCCCAGACCATTGTATGTATGAACTGAGAGGCCAGCCCAGCTTCCTGTCACTCTCCCAGCGTCCTGGACATTTTGTCTTTAGCTGTCAGGGTGGGGGCTGTGGTTAATGAATCAGAGGAAAGGGTGATAAAACGAAAGGTGTACGCACGAGGGGCGAAGGGTGGCCGGGAGCACAGAGCCAGCTGGCCCAAAGTCCCCAGAAACCTCCGCCGGGCTCTTCCTTCCTGGCAGCTTGGCCCCAAAGGAGGGCTCAGCATCCAGGGACACTGCACTTTCCACGCCCTGAGTCCCACCGCGGGAATAATATCCTCCAGACCCAAGCCTGTATGGGCCCAGCATCGGCTCTTCTGGTTCCCCTTGGGTCAGGGCATGGAGGTCCCGAGGCAGCTGCACTCCTAGAAGTTGGGCTGTCTGTCCTTCCCCAACACGGCCGACTGGGGCTCAAACACTCCCAGACTCAGGCCGGGGCACAGACGCCCTGGGTCGGGACCACTGACCGGATGGGAGGATGCACCAGGCCTACCCTGCCCCTGGGATGGGCAGGGGGCAGCAGGCGACAGCGGAGGGCGAAGGGAAGGGGGAGGGACGGAGCGAAGACCCGAGCTCAGATGTCTCTGCGCTTCCCTGTAGAAGGGCTTAGCTCTGGCCGAGGAAGACGGGCACAGCCCCAAACCGCTTTCAAGGAAGCGAGTGCTTTCCACAGGAGGAAAAACGAGCGTGCCTATGGTCTGTTACACAAACACAATGCCCACCACGCAGCTCGTGGGTCCAAACCAACGCGGATTCAAAGGAAAACCGCCAACGCTGCTCCCTGGTCAACCCCAGATCATTCACTGGACTGAGTAGAGATGGAGTCGGAAGTGAAACTCCGGTCGCAGGTGAAAGCGAACTCTGGAGGTTGGGAGAGAAGCGCCCCAAGAGCCCAGCCTCCCACCTCTCCCAGGCAGAGCTGGGTCACCCCCTCCTTCAGCCGCCAAGAAGTAACTAACAGACAAGTTTCCTACCAGGCGCACACTCAGGACCGTGTGCCCGCTCGCTGGGAAGAGCCCGTTCCTGTCCCCAGGAGCTCCTCCAGGGGCACGCCCCGGGCTGGGCAGCAGCCTCTGCTCCTCCCTGGAGAGCAGAGCATCTCAAAGGAGAGAGCCTTTCAACAAGCCAGACATCCTCCGTGCGGTGGAGCACAGCCCGAGGGAGCACCAGGGTGTAGCCACTAGCCTCTGAGTGGCAGTTCTACCTTGTACCTGGGCACACACCTGGCGGAGCACATGGACTGGGGCACACCCTGTGACGTTACTGGTTCCACTTCCCTAACTGGGGGGAGGGAGGTTGGGCCAGACAGAGGGTAGGTCTGAGTCCAAAGCCAACTGCGAGCCCACTTTCCCTCCTGCTTTCCCTTTGGCTGGCCCAGCCGGTGGCTGCACCTCCACTGACTGCTACTCCAGCCTCCTTCCCTTATCAGGACCTCTGTCTGCCAGCCTCAAGAACAGTGAGTAGCAGGACGAGGCAGGGGAGGAGGGAGGAGGGAGGAGGGACAGGGAGAGGAGGTGGAGGAGGAAGTTTCACAGTCTAGTGCATTCCCATCAGATCAGAGGGGAGCACATACAACTTCCCTTTTTCAAGCATTGCTCTGCCTCCCCCTTTTGTTTCGGTTCCTTCCCCTCTGGACTGGGGATGGCGCAGCTAGTGGGCTGGGCAGGGGCCGGCACCCAGGTACGCAGCCAACTGGGCTCTCGCCCGGCTCCATCTCAGGCCTGGCACGCTCCCTCGGGCCGTTACCCGGCATGCCCTTCTCCTTGTCAGGGAGGCCGCACCCTCTTGTTTTCAAAGTTTTATAACAGTATTGTTTGTTGTCCAGCAGATTAAATTCTTTGGAGGCTAGGGAGGGGGGAGCGGGAGGGAGAGAGAGAGGAGGGAAAAGAGAGAAGGAGAGAACATACAAATAACTTCTATTAGGGCTAAAAGATTAAACGAGTTCCTTTCTGAACATAAAGTTCACCTGTCTTAGAGAGAAGCCAAGAGCCTGTGTTCTCTTCCCGTCTGTGCCCATCCTCTCTGGCCCCTTCCCACCTAGCAGGGTGACATGCAGTCTTAGACCTCCAAGGCCACTACTCAGGGATCGAGCTGCAAAGAAGTACCAGCTGATAAAGCTGGGGGATGCATGCCTCAGCACCCCCCACCCCAAACAGGACGCACGACGCGGGGTCGAGCCGGTCCCAGCAAGGACACCCTTGATCCTCATCTCAGGTGTCTGGCCGAAGCAGTCCAGGACTATGGGGTGGGGGGTCTGCAGGCAGCTGCCAGAGCCCTTGTCTCAAAGATAGCTTGTCCCTAGACTGAGCCAGTGGTTTGTTTACACTTAAAATCAAAATCACACATTCACGGATACCAGTGACACTGGAAGAACTGTACCCCAAGGAAATAACACAACTGCATGAGCAAATATTCACATATACCTAAGGAACAAGAAAGAGTGGAAAACAGGAAAGAAAAGAGACAAAAAGTCAATGTAAAATAAGCATGATCTTATAGACAGGGCCCACTAAACAGGCCTCCGCCTGCAAGGCCTTTTGACACAATCTGCAGGTGGTGATAGCACAAAAGGATGCATGATTCTCCATATTTAACACAACTCTCATTTAGACATCACCTGATTTATTTCAGACTTTGGGTTACCTCTAAATAGTAAGCCCATGTGAACACCTACCCGGCCTTCGGTAGCGCCGGCAATGCCCGTGCCTCCCAGAGCTGTGGGGCTGCCCTGAGATGCTCTTCACTCCCCTCTTCTTCCCGGCACGCCGTGCCTGGCCCTGCCTCCTCCACACCACCCTCCTTCCCCATGCTCCCCCCACCACGCACACCCCTGCAATGCCCACTAAAGGTCCCTAGTGCTGGGGTGGTGGTGATGGTGTGCATACCATTAGAGCAGCTCAGGGCCCTCTCCTGGAAGGCATGAGGGGAGCATGCCTTTCTCCTTTTTTTAATATGCAAATAATACCAGTTACTTTCGGGTCAGTGCTGCAAGTTCTGTCTGCAAAAGGAAACAAGGTCAGACTTCTAGGTTCAATGCCCACACTGATGCAACTCCCAGCATCCCACTGCCCAGCCTCAGCCAGGAGGCTGGAGAGATGGATGAGCAGAGAAGCTTGCTCTAGATCCCGGTTCTCAACCCTCACGCTGTTCCAGGGACGGTCTCAAAGTCCCACAGACTCAGGACTGAGAAGACCCCACGGAGGATAAGGATCATCTTTCCTTATAAACCCTCAGCAAAGGTGACACACAGTTCTAGCCTCAATCACCCTCCTTGCTGCAGGTTCTGCCCATTCTCCTTTCCTTCCTTCAGGTGAACAGAAAGAACCAGGCCCAACGTGACAAATCTGCACACATGAGGCTACTGAAGGCTTCATTCGCTGAAACAATTCCCCTTTGGATGCTCCATCACGGAGTTTCTCTGTATTCCAAGGATGCATTCAGGAAATATAAATGGACAGACATCCAAATGCACCTATGCACACTGACCCAACCAACCTCAACCATTCCTAAACGAACACCCCTAGAAAAAGCCTAAACCATCACGGCTAAATTTGCTGTAAGTAAACATTTTTTCCCCCTTCATACAAGTTCTGGGTCTATTCAAATAAAGATAACTCAGAAGGCCAAGTGGCCAAGAAGTCCAATACCCTGTCTCAGCGCCCCTCATAAAGACTGGGGCTTATTCTCAGCATTTAAGGAAAACTGACACCCACGAGTTCTCTTACCTCCCTCACTCTCCATGGGGAAGGCCTCCTCTTCCAAGTCAATCACGAAGCCAGCATTCAGGGCTGAAGTCAGCGTTTCCAGTATTAATATCTTACTTTACACTGTACATTAGCCAAAGCTTCCAGCAGGTGCTGTACATCAGCCAGCAAACAGGTAACTTACACACAACATGCATGCTGGGCAAAGCTCGGGCTTCCCTTATAAATCTGTTGGAAAAATCTCAGAGATTGCACAACGAGGCCTCATCTCTAAGTGAGCTACATTCAGCAGAAGCACGCCTATGTGCACGTGCATGGAGTGCCACACAGATGCGTCAGAATGACTGGAAGCGTCACATAATTCCAGAAGCTTCCAAATGTACGAAACCTCTCCAGGAACACATGGTGAGTGGCTGGCTTCCCAGCCAAGAAGTGCAAGCCAGTTCTCACAAGAGCTCCAAGTCTAAAGAATCAGAGAGCTGGAGAACCCAGACATTCTGAAGTCTCCTTCCCCTTTCGACATATGGAAAAAGAACCCAGGGCCCTTGGAGATCAAGTAAACTGGCCAAGAGCCCACTCGCCTACTCCTGCCCTTGCCCCACGGGTCAGAACCCAGGGAAATGACAGCTGAAGTTGGGGACCTGGGTGGGTGACCCAAATCAAGCAGGTACAAGCAATTAGATCTTCGCAGGACTCTGTCTGGCTCAGTTTCATCAACGACAGGGGTAATACCACCTACCCTCACGGGGCTGTGCGAGGACCAAAGGAGCTAGCGAGTGTCAGAGCAACTCAGTGTGGTGTGAGGGATGGTTACTGATCAATTCCTCTCCTGCCTGAGTCCCAGCCCAAAGCCCTGTTCACTACACCGTACTGGCAGGCGCGTGGGGGCGTGGGGAGCGTGGGGGTGAGCTCACAGTTATTACGGATCCCAGGTAAACATCCCGCAAAGCAGCAAGCAGATAGCATCTTGGAGAAGTGCAGTTATTTTTAAAACTCTGCCTTCTGTGAAGCAGACTGCACGACCTGCCCCCTCAGCCCCAGGGGCTCCTGCCCACGTCGCCTTGGAGAAGCGGCGGCCGTGGGGGGCTGAGGCTGCCGTGGGAAGCTGGGCCAGAGTCCCAGCCACTCCTGGCCCCAACCTGGCTGGGCTTGGCATCTGGGGCTTTCCTGGATGTGTTTTGTTTTGGCTATCTTTTTAAGAGCGACCAAAGACCAAAAAGCTGCTATAAAACTAGGGGCTCTGAGATATTTTTGGTTTTTGCTTTTCTTTCGTTGACATCTTTTTTCAAAATTTAATTAATTTTATTTTTTAATAGAAGCCTTTAAACAACACATGAAAAAAGAAGGCTGAATATAAAAGACAACTTCTGGAGAGCAAGGGTCAGACTGTGGCACAGATGCCCTCCCCGAACCCACCGTCCTGTCATCTCCTCAGGATTTAGGGCTAGACAGGACGGAGCATCTTTCCCGGAGCAGGGTCTCTCGGGTCAGCCCCCTGCAGCACAGCAAGCCCCGCTAGCAGCTCCCACGCGCCCCATCTCCAACAGCCTCCTGCAGGGAGCCTGTGGCCATGTGGCAGAGCCACTGCTGGAGCCTCGTCCATCAACCACCTGCACACAATCTCCAGCCCTTTCCTCTTCCTTCTGGGTGGTCCTTCAAAAACTGTCTCTGCCCACCCACCCTAATGCATGCTGACAGGTCTTCAAGATCCCTCACTTTCTCTTGTGGTAACTCAAGTCTAGGTTTCCTTGTTCTGAGCTTCTGGCTAAAAAATAGCTCCACAAACAGCAGGGAGACCCTATGTTAGAGCTGGGACCTCCAAAGAGATTCTGGTTTAATCTCCTTATTTCATAGATTACGAAACTGGGGCCCAAAGGGGTGAATTGAGTGAGTGAGATTTTACCAACAGAGCCAGGACTGGAATCCAGGCCTGCTGACCCCTGGACACTGAGCAACATAAACCCTACCTTCCCTGACCCATCTCCTCCCGGAGCGCCCTGACCACAGTCCCTCACCTTGTGCAAGTGCAGACCCCTGGCAGCAGATGGCAGTGTCCACGGCTGGGGGGGGAGGGGGCAGGCATCAGTGACCGGCCAAGGAGGCAAGAATCACGTGGCCTGACTCAGCCCGGGCCAGCCGCCTTCCTACCAAGTAAACAAGTCCAGAGCCCTGGAGATGCACGCACTGAAAACATGCCCTCCTCGTCCCCAGCACCCCCAACCTGTCTCGACCTCTCCAGACACAGAGCTCAACCTACCCGGTGCCCGTCCCTTCCCCGCTGCCCTTCTCACTGGCTCTCAGAACCACGCGCTCTGGCAGCAGAGGCTGAGCTCAGAATATGCCTCCTGCAGGCATGCGTTTGACCAGCGACTTAGCAAAGACTGAACTCGAATGTTCCCCTGTGCTGCGTGGACAGGGCGGGAGCGGGGTGACCAGGCCGAGGAAGAGGAGTCGGCTAGTGCCCGGGAGTGGGGAGCCAGAAGGCCCAGGGCAGCTATGGCAGGTGGGAAAAGCCGCCTGCCGCACAGCACAGGTGTGACATCTACTCCACCTTGGGCCCTGACTCGCTACCGGCTCCTGTAAGCTGTGGGGACCTCGGGTGGATTCTCCTAGTTATCAGGACAAAGGAGGGGCTCAGTATCGGTGCCAACCCTGACTCAGTGTGGCTGCCAGGTGGCTGGGCACCTCGAGTCCCCAGCTACCCCCACTCCATGATGTGGACCCCCCTTCTTTATCCCCACACCATCTCCACGTCTCTTTTACACATTTCTTAATTCTTTTTAAAGAATATATTAGTGACGTCTCCCCACACTAGAAGGTCCGTGAGAGCAGAAACCTGATTTGTCAAGTGCTCGTCCCCAGCCCCTGGTGCACCCGGACATGGCAGAGGCTGCACACGCGGCGGCAGAAGCGATGCCTTTGCCTCGCGCGGCCCTGCCTGTCCACGGGTACCAGGGGCGTCGGCCTCTGCCCCGCCTCCCAGAGAAACGCGGCACAGCCGGCCCCGGGGACTGCAAGTTCCCCTGGGCGTCTGCCTTTCCCTCTGGTTCACGTTGGTCCTCTGAGGATCTCAGCCCACAAAAAGTCTGACTTCAGCCCCAGAGGGGGAAGAAAAAGTACAAGCTTTGGAATCAGAAGTGCCTGGATTCAAACCTCAACAACCCCACTTACCAAGTGCGTAACCTTGGTTAAGTCGCTTCATGATCAGTCTCTTCAACAGTGAAAGGGAATAACCCCTACGTCACATGGTTGTTCTGAGGACGAACTCAGGTGAGCCAAAGAGGGCCCTTAGCAAAGGTCGGTTTCCCTTTCTCTGGACGGTACGCAGGGACCGGGAGCTCCAGTGCCCATCTCATGCCTGCGTGCTGTATTACACACTCTGATCTGGCACCACGCCCTGCCTTCAGTACCAGACACTCAGACACGAATCCTTCACAGGGGACACACATGTCCCTCCTGGGCCACAGCAGGCAGCCTTGGCTGGGCACTGGACTCATCCTCCCGCACCCTCCTGGCCTTGCTCCCGTGATCCAACCACGCACACCACCTCCCCAGGGGGCTCTCCCCATTCCCGTCCCCCTACTCCACCCCGCACAGGCTCGACGCCAAGGGCATGAGGCTCTGCGCAGGCCACGGGGCCCTGGAAGTGTTCTCTGGCGTTATCAGCCCGTGAGCAGCTCCTGTGGAAGGAGCCAGCAAGAAACCAAACTCGGCCTATGCTTTCCTCACAGCCACTCCAAGTCCCAGAAAAGCAAAGCGAAACGAGGGCCTCCCACGGACGGCTGGCTGGTGGAGAAGGGTGGTATCTCTTACATATCTCAGAGACAGGCAACAAGCCCAAAAAGGTGACCAGCACAAGGTACAGATCCTCTCCAGAGCTGCGGCCGCAGCCTCGGGGGCACGCAAGCCAGGGGACAGAGCCAAGATATGCATTAAACAATTCACAGCCCGGTGCAGACCAGGATTCAATGGAATAGAGAAGGTGCTGACCAATCAGGGCCCCTGGCAGGGCCCCTCCCCCACGACTCCCAGCCAAGCCACACCACCCCGGCTCCAGAGCCACCAGCTCTGTTAACCTCTGCTGGATCCCGGATGCAAGCGCCCCACGCTGCCTCCTGGCTCCCAGACCTCAGGGACTCAAAGGTCAAGAAAAAAGCGCCAGATATGCCGGGTCCCTCTCTCAGAGATGCCAAGTGTTCTGCTAGCCTGACTGGCAACACACAATGCCCCATGTCACGTCAGTGGAAGCCAGGCTGGTGAGCAGGGGGAAAGAACTAGATGAGGGACAAAAATAGAAAAATCAGTGGGAAGCACCAACCCCAATTCTGAAAGCATCAGAGGCCGAGGAGACAACTGCGTGACCAAGAGCAAGACCGATTTCTCCCTCACTGCCCACCCTGGTTTCCCCAACCTAGCCAAGGACAGGGCTGTGGATGGGTGTAGAGGTCACACAGAGGCAGGCCTGGGGACACACCACACACGCGAGAGCTGAGGCCCCCACGCAAGGCCGGCAGCTACGTCTGGCTCCAGCCCTACGGCTAGTGCTGGCCAGACTCTAGCCCACACATCTTGAGGGACTTGGCTTCCTCCTCTTCGTCTCCCTGGCTGCACCGAAGCCAATCTCTCCCCTTTACCCGTGCTCCCGTCCAACACCCCCTGCCATCCCTCCCTGCGCTACTGCCGAGGGGCTGAGACTTGCCAGGTTCCCTGAAGGAAGAGACACGGGGCTCTTCCCAACAGCCCTGGATCCCTCACTTGGTGAGGATCTCGGGCTGCTCACAGCCAACTCAGAGACTCATCTCACACGGGAAGAGAATACGAAATACCAAGAGGCAGAACTGGCCAGTCTTCCCTGGATAGCGATGGAGCAGTGTGGGGAAGAGGAAACGACACCCATACCCGAGACCGGAACAGACAGGGGCGACTGCTGTGTGGACAGACGTGGGATCCCACAGGTGCCTCATAAAATAACCAAGCATTGCTCCTGGGATCTTTAGACCCCAGAAAAATCTGCTGTTGGCTAATTCCAACCAGCTCTACTGGCCAAGAAACACTGCAGTAATCTACAGGATTTGGAGCAAGATTTCCTGGTGACGTGGAAGCACCGAGAGTCGGCTTTGTGCAGTGTATCTCTAATGCAACAGACCTTCCCAGTTTTGCAGGCCGCCACCATTTTTAATCACCATAGTAATTGTGACCAGCAACAAGTGAGGCACAAAACAAAGCATTTATACCTCAACTGTCTAGAGATGTTTCTCAGTGGCTTACTGGACCAGGGATTTCTTTTTAAGGTGAAGGCGATGAGGACCTAGAGGAAAGGTTCCTTCCTAAGTAGGGAAAGAACCCTAAAGGCCACTGCTCAGCCCAGTCTACACTCGGAACTCCCAGACCCAGGCTAGCAGCATGGAGGCTAAAGGTATCTAGAGTAAGAAAGAGCATCCACCGAGATGACCCAGGAGAGAGAATGCCCAAGCCCCAGGGAGGCCCCCAGGACCACTGAGGGTTTAAACTCAGACTCTGACACCACAGTGGGGGAGGCCACAGCGCTCTGCCCACTGCCACGTCCGGCAACGCCGCCCAGCTACCTCCCACTCGTCCTCCCAGCCTGATCACTTCAGCTGGCCACCCTGTCCCCAACCCTTTGCTGATTACTAATCCCATTCACAGAAAATCCAGAAGTAGGAGAATGGAAAGAAGAGAGCGATTGTTTGCGAGATTCTGAATGGAGAAGGCCGAGGGCTGCCCCACTGAATAAGGAAAATGACCTTCACGGAAGGGAAGGCTGGGGAAGGCCACGGGGAGGAGCACGCACCTGACTTACCTGGGAGGCAGGAAGGGGTCAAACCCCGCGTTCCTTGTTGCAGCTGGTTTCCAATAAGCAGCCTGGCTGACGATTCACTGACAAGACTAGGATCACGTCACATCGATCAGCACTTACGGTCACGGAACCACGCAAATTTGTGTCTTGACAGTACCTATGGGAGGTAGAGGGGGATATCCAACCTCCCCTGCCCGAAACCACCCGACACAGCACTGCTCACCACCAAAACTCCTCCTGAGGACCGCTGAGCCCTCTCTGCCGGGCTGCAGCCAGACGTCCAGAGACTCCAGACAGGAGCGAAGGCGGAGGGCAGACGCAGCTTCCGGATGCCAGTAGCTGAACCTGCCCTTGTATATCCTAAAGCAAATCAAAGGAAGGAGGAGGAAGTGGTGGAGGAAGGCAAGGGAATGCATGGGGTCCAAAAGAAGGAAGAGAGAGGTCAAAAGACATCCTTGGGCAAAGCAAGGCAAACAGGAAACTAGGAAGAGAAACCGGAGGCTGTTCTTTGAAAAGGGGCACGACTGTGCCTTCAGCCATGTCATGTGCCCCCAGCCTCTCCCACTCAAAGCCCAATATCCACGGGAGAGCTATCGGCCTCTCCTGGCCCTCGGCCCACATCAGCACCCTCATCTGGCATGACCTTTGAATCAACCAGCATCTGAAACAGGGGAGAGGAAAGTAAGCAGCCCCAACCTCAACACCCCCCCCACACATACGCACACACACATATGCATATGCACACACACACACACACACACACACAAACACACCTTCCCAGAATAAAAGGCCCTTGGAGATGGCTCACGTTCTCTAGGTTCCGGTTCTCTGATACAAGTGCTCCTCTCCCACAGGGGAGGGCAGACACGTCTGATAAGAATTGCTTAGCACAATGCTATATATAGTCTAGGTTCCTACCAGCCTAGAGATGTGGAGCTAGAACTTGGCAGAGAACCATGCTAGGTGCTGGCAAGGACCATCCTCCCACAGCCAGCCAGTGGGGAGCCTCGTTTCCCGGCTGGGGGCAGTGAGGGCACACAGCGGCCCATTAACACTCTGTGCAGAGGGACACGGGCTGTGGGCTCTGTTTTAGGGAAAATCAACTTCTCCCGAATGTGAGGGGGATGTGTGGGGGCTGAACACCGAATTCTAGCCACTCTGCAGCTATCCAGTAGCATCAGAAAATCAATCTAGTCCTCTATTCTGGAGGACTAAGGGTGGGGTGCGCAAGAGAAGAATGGAGAAGGCATAGCAGGTGGCTGGGCTCGATAAACATCTATCCACTTCCGATGTTTGGAGAAATAAAAGAATGTAAAAGAATGCAGACGAACACTTACTGCAGAAAGCAGGGCTGCCAGGCATCGCCTTTTTTTGTTCCAAATAAATGCAAGTGAGCCATTCTACCCGGCAGCATGACGGCTGTCTTCGGCACACTGGCACCATCCTCAGCTGAGCCTGAGTCGCCAAGAGGTTGTCACCCACTCACGGAGCAAGCTGCACTCTCCCAAGCTCTCTGTGGGGAAGAAGACAAAGGAAGACAGGTGGGCTCAGCTCACAGAGCCAACCAAGCAATGAACTGCACAGACCCCAACCAGGGTCCCATCTGGGGTTGATACGCAGCCCCGAGACCATGACCCTCAGCCGTTGACCACCATCCAAGACCGAAGCAAGACAACACTGGGCAAAATGACGTGGGCCCGTCGTCCTGGGCCATTACTGGAGGGCAGGGGGTCTGATCAAAGAGGGCCCGTCCATCACCTCTTTCAGAAAATGAGCCCAAGAGACAACAGAGCTTTCTGAAGCATGGAATCCAGGCTCTCATCACATGCACAGCTCAGGATGAAGAAATACGAGACACCAAAGGTTCCAACACCCACATATACACAATATTTTTAGGTCAAGTTGCTCGCTACTCAGGCTCAAAAAGACATGACTGGAAGGGAAGGACTGGGTCCACCTGCACATCCTGGGTGGGGACGGCCGGCCCCCATCCCTTGCCCTGCTTCACTCTCCTCTGTGACTTCAGTCACGTCTCCCTGCCCTCCTCCACCCCCCAACCCCGGCTCCCAAGACCCAGAAGCCACTCCTACCAGAGGTCCCGAATGACTCACCCTGGGAGGTCCTTGGGGAGAGCAGGACTGCCCAGTGACAAATGTCAGTGACAAGCATCATCCACGGGAAAGCACGAGACTGGAAAATGGTACACGGGAAAGCGGGGAGAGGGAGCTCTTGGCCGGGCTGCCGCTTAGGCCAGCACAAGTTTGTTCCTCTGCTCCCGACGCTGGCTGAGGGGGATAGAAGAGAGAAAGGGGACGATGGTCTGGCCAGGATTCAGCGGCAGTGGAGACGCGTCTTCTCTCTTGTTCCCAAGAAGGCGGGGTGGGGCGGGGCGGGCGGGGGGATCACGCGCCTATAGCGCAAGGCTGCAGAATCTAGAAAAGCCTAGAACCCTGAGCCGCCATGACGACGCAAAAAACGAAAAGAAAAAAGGGTCAAGAACGCAAGGTCCACCATTTTACCTAAGAAGGAAATGAGGAAGATGAGGGGGAGAAGAGAAGCTCTGACTTGGGTCAGTGAGGAAAGGGGAGGCTGATGCAGGCTGCCCAACAGCTGGCCCTGAGCGCACGGCCAGTTCCGCGGAGCCACCATCTTCACTGGGCACCCAGCAGGGGACTCCTGAGACACCACATCCCCAGGACGCCCACCCGCTCCTGGAGTCTGGGAGTGCCAGTGTTCTCCCAGATCTGCCTGGCCCACTCCCACCCCAAGAAAGGAATCGCCCCTGTACGCAAGGCAACGACCACCAAGATTATCACAGACAGCCACGGTGAGAAGCCCCAAAGAGCTTTCTGGCCCCGGGAAGATGTCTTGTCATTTGTGACCAGCAAGAAGAGCTCAAACACTGACCCTGTTTGCCAAGCTCATCTAACAAACACAAACAGCTGTATTTTGTTTTTCAGACTCTAAAATTCAAGGGTGCACAGAGCCCCGCTGAGTTACCTGGGGTCGCCCCCATCCTGATGTCAAGCGGCGGCCTTCTTCTCTGCCCAGCCCTTCCTGAAAATGACCCCAGGCTAAAGATCGGCTCAGAGCCCCGAGCTGTTTTTGCTGCTTTCATGTTGACAGAACATCCTGGCCACTCGGCTGAGAGCTCCATCTCCCGGCTCCCGATACACTGAGTCATCTTCCAAAGAGGAAAAAAACAACAAAGCAGCCGTCACCAGGGTCCCCACTGCCGTCGACTGACGACTCACTGGCTGTCGTCACTCTCCGCTCTGCAGCCCTGGAATTGGTGACTAGGGGGCTTCAGGGTGCCCAACTCCCCTCCCACGGGACTCAACCACGTCGGGAAGCAGGCAGCCACTGCTGAGATTTGGAAAGAAGGGAAACTAACCTGGCATCAAGGGGCTCCCAGGAAGGCTCCCTTGTTAACCCTCACTCTGCCACCACCAGTCCTACTGCCCTGTGCCCACGGCACGTTCCTGACGCAGAAATAAAGGGGCATTTACTCCAGGTGGGGGCAGGCACTACCTTGAAGGCTTGAGGTGCGTCCTGCCCAGTTACCTCCTCCCTGCCCCTCCTGTGACACCCTGAGGACATACGAGCTCCCTTCTCCCCCATTTCTTCTCTAGCCCCCTGCTATGCTCCCTTTTTAAGTCCTCGATAAACCACTGGGCAGGGGAAGAGAGCTGCACCAGTATCTGCTGGGCAAGATATTAGGCATTTCTGTATAATAATTGTAGTGACGCTCTCTCACTGACTGAGGACACGAAGACTTAGAAAAATCACATGACTTGTCTAAAATCACCCAGCTAAGAAGAGGCAGCATCAAGATGCAAACCTAGGTCTGTCCGAGACTGTTTGGAGCTTATTCTGCTCTTAAGATGCTATAACTCCCCCCACCCCAAAACCTCTTCCTCCTCTTCCAGGAAGAAGGCAACCAGGATACCTGAATCTATTAATCCACCAATTTCAGCTACACAAAAGCCATCATCTTGAGTGAACCTGGCCACAAAGGAAGAAGAGAAAGTTAATGAGATAGGTATGGAACAGCTAAGTGACCCAGACCATGGACACATGGTCAGCCACCCAAACTCCCAACCGAGAATTAGGAACTTACAAAAGTCCTTAAATAGACACATTCTGGTAGTCTACCTCATGACAGGCATCTTGCAAACACTAAGGATTCAGCGAGGAAAAGTGCAAAGGCTTTGGAAGACGAGGCCTCGGCTAATGACCATGCCACCTACCAGTCACGGCGCCCTCCTCCCAGGGCTGTGGTAAGAAATAAATAAATAACTGCCATGAAAGAGCCTAATGTGGTATCTGGCAAACAGAAGGCACCAAATAGGTATTTGTTTTTCCCTAGCCTCCCTCTTGGAGCTCCTCATTGTGACGTAAGACTTATGCACAAAGAACCATAACACAACAAAAGTACCATAAAAGAGGGACAATGTGTACGGGAGTCTGGCCGAAGGGACGGGGGAGGTTACGATTCCCCTGCTTCTTGCAAGGGCAGTCAGGAGAGGTCCACGGAGAAGGTGAGCCTGCCACAGGTGGACGCAGCGAAGAGGAGGCACAGGGAACACCACTAGTGAGAGCAGAGAGGCAGAAAAAGCAAGAAAAAGTCAGTTGCCTGGTTTTGTTGGCATACGTGGTCCAGCTAGGCAAACTCACAGAGGTGAGACTGTACAGGAAAGCTAAGGCCAGTTACAGACAGCCCTGAGCGTCACGCTAAAGGGAAGGAATTTTACTCTGGGAACGAGAAGAAACCATTTTAACTTCCTGGGCAGGAAAGACAAGATGGCCGCTGCACGCAGAAGGGCCTGGAGAGGGAGGACTGGGCAGCCGGGAGCCTCCGAGAGGACTCCAGCTTGAGCCACGGTACTGGCAGGGGGCATCATGGAGGAGAAACAGAGAAGAGAAACCGTAAAAAGGCAGGGCCATCAGAACAAATCCTCCAAGCTGCCATGGACCTCACTCCTCGTCCCCCATGGGGAGGTTGCCGGAGACAGAGCCTATTTGGGGAACACAAACCACAGGTCTGACACGTCTGAGATGAGCTGCCTGCCTCTGCCTCCACTCTCCCCCAAAACACCCAGCTCTTCCCCGAACTGCTTTAAGCCTCACGCTGCTGAGGGCATGGGAAACCCAATGCCCACACTCTGGCAAAGCTGGGCCTGGGTAGTGAACCCCCACCAGGACTGAGTCCGAGGGTGGGACTGGGCGGTCTGCCCCTGGGGCCACCTTCACTGCGGCAGCCACCACTGTGCCCGCCTCTGCTGCGTATTTGCTCCCCCCTCCTCCGTCATAGCCCCCGCCCCCCGCCCACTCTGCGGAACTGGCACAGCAGGACCAGAAAAACCAACGCCACCATATCGGAGACCAGAAGAAATGGCTCCAAAATGGCAGCCGATACAAGGAGTCCAGAAAGATCATACACACACCCAGGGAAAAGGAAGCCAGTGACAAGGGGAGTGAACTGTCAACCACCTTCCAACTAGGCTCCCCACAGTTGTCACATCTTCTCCTTTAGAAACTTCCTCTCAAAAATCAGAAAGGATACGAGGACAAGAAGGGCATCACCCCCACCTCCAGAGAGGACCTGGGGCCCATAGGTGGTACAGGGCGCTCAGAAGGACGTTCTGCGTACCCTGCCCCAAGATGGGGAAAGCAAACCATTTCTGTCCTCAAACCTAGCTCCTGCCACAAACTAGACAACTAGTCCTCCCGGGGAGTGCAATCTCCCACTGCTCCCCAGTCAGACCCTCCCCAGCTCTGTGGGCCCTGGGGAGTGAGGAGGTAGGGTTGCAAGGAAGGGCCGAGAAGGCACACGTCGTGCCCTCGGTTATGTAATAAGAAGGGCGGTGCTCGTCCTAGGCCAGAGACCCAGAGCGCACTGCGCTCCTAGATGCGCAGTCATGGGTGGGGGCCACTGCGCATGGCACAGGGTTTGGGAAACCCCCTCCCCACAGACGTGAGACCCGCAAGGACAGGATGGGGAGCCGGGACCCTGATTTTTCCAGGCCTCCCTCCCCCAACCAGAGGCGAACAGCCTGCTGCCCTAGTTTTTACTCTGACTCCTCATTCCCCAGACTCACAAACCTTTCTAACCTGGGACCTCCAAAGCTCCTGTCCCCCACTGACTTTTCTGGAAATCCCACCAAATACGCAGTTTCTGAGCAATTTCCTAGGGTCAATCTCCCATCCTCACCTTTCCAAGCACCAGGTAGCAGCAGCTTCCAGAAGGTAGGTCTTTCCCACACTCAGCTCACTCAGCTCACAACTGGCTCCTGAGGGCCTCTGGACAGCCCCGGACGTCAATGCAAATCTCTTGTCCCCAGGGAGTAGCCCCGAGTCAGCAGGAAGCCCAGGGTGGTGGCAATATCGACAGCAGCAGCTCTGCCCTACCTTGCCCATGTGTTTCCAGGGGAGCCAAGAATTATTTTGCCGCAACACAGAGGTGTGGCTGATTGGAAAATTCCCTTGTCCAACACCAAACTAAAGGACAGATATTTTCTTCCAGTTTGGTCAACGCTCTGTGCACCCATCTGCCCAACCTTCCTCCCACCAAAAAAAAGTTTGGGGAGCCCTGAGCTCTTCTTCCGTAGAGTGCGTGAAATTTAAAAAGGTAAAGGAAGAGGCTTCGACTGGGCAGTCAAAAGCAAGCATAGACACAGGAGCCTACGCACACCCCTAAAGAGATTTTAGAAAGCTGCTGGGCTTCTCCCCCCTCCCCTTTAAGCAAGTGAAATGCAAATTCAGATTTGATACCCTGCCCTCAGCCAATCAAAAAAAGCTTTTCACCTGCCATTGGCTCGCCCACCAATCAGAGAAAGTGTCTCGAGTGAGAGCCCTCCCCTGGCCAATGGAAGGCCAGCTCAGTCACTTAGTTAATGATGCAGCAGTACAGGGAAGGCCATCACATGTGAACTGGAAGGGAGCCAACATGGAGACACAGAGAGCGCAAGGTAAACAACTTTCCAACGCCAAAGGATGACATTTAATCTCTAAATGCTAGCTTCCCTTCTCAGCTCATCCTTAACCCCTCTCAGCTGGCCCCACAGACCCCGGGAGCCTCACTACCTGTCCCCATAGAGCTCCTAACAAGATGCAACAGTGACTGCGTCACCATTCCCCACTTTCCCAAACTACGCAGTGACAAACCTACCAGCTTTACCCCACTTCTCCCAGCCCACACCCCACCCCGGCCACCCGCTCCCCACCAGCCCCAAATTCCCAGGGCCAAACATTTCAATAAGGCAGCTCCTGGAAAAAAACTGTCCCTCTGTCTTCCCCTCAGCACTTCTCCTCACTCCCTACCTTCCACGTAAGACCTGCACAGACAGACGGACAGACGCTGACACCCCAACAACCTGGAGAACCAGTCTGTCTGTCTGTCCACTAGAAGGAAATGGGGTAAAGGCTGGGAGGTCAGGTGGGAAGCCAGAGACTCTACCCTGGTTAGGCTTGAGCAGCTGACACTAAGGGAAAAGAAATCAAAGTGGAAAAAAACCCTCCCTCAGAGAAATAAATAGCAAAAAGCGAGAAAGAAGGTGAGAAAGACAGAGCACCCACATACGCAGAGACATCGCCCCGATCCCAGCACATACGTACGTGGGGGAAGAAGGAGGTTACGCCATCAAGTCCTGAAGCCCATCGGACCACCCGTCGTAGCCTGCGCAGACCCAAATCTCGGTCCGGCCGTGAGGTGCCGCAGTCCCGAATGTTCCAGAATTTGGTCCCGTCAAACCTTTCACCGTCGCCCCGCAACCTCTTGCTCCCCCCTGCCCCCCACCACTACCCCACCTCCTCCCCACGGGAACCGCCCGTGCCACCTTGCGTGTCATCTCCTCAGCCTGGGCTACCCAGAGGCCTCTGGCCCCGGCAGATCTCTGGACGCTTGGCAAGTGAGCTGGCAGAACCTGGTGCCCGGTGTTGCTATGACTTGTTTCTTGATTTCTCTCTCTCTCTCTGCTGCAGCACGGCTGTTGCTAGCAGACCTATCGACGGAGCTTGCTCGCTCTCTCTCTCTCTCTCTCTCTCTCACTCTCTCTCCTCTCTCTCTCTCTCTCTCTGAGCTCTGTGACGCAGATCTAAATTCTCCAGTCTGCTCCTTGTGTTGCAAGAGCAGAACTGCAGCTTTTCCCCTGGAGAGCCGGAGGGCAGTGCCAAGGCTGGTCAAACAAGGCAAAAAAAGTTGGGCCTACACTCTGCTTCCCTGGCCACGCTTCTCAGCCCATCCCCCGACTCCTCCAGCACCTCACTGCTCCGGGGCATAGAGGTCCCTTTCCCTGCAGGCTCACTCCTTCCCTGAGGGCTTCCCAGCCACAGGACTACTTAACTCTTTGAGTGGCAGCCCCCAGAGCCTAGACAGGGCTGCCCATGTTAAATGTTGCATCATCTTTTCTTGAGCCATATGGGATTCTCCCAGTACTGAGAAAAGAATGGTCCTCACCCTGTGACCACCATCCCATTAACTCTTTCTGCCACAGACAAGTCCAGGATTACGGCCATAGCTGATTTCTGTTGTTGTTTTTTGCTTTTTTGGCCAAACACCAGGACCTTTTTCTCCCTGGAATTTCCTAAGGACAAAAAGCGTAATTAAAACATTGCTTGCTTACCCTACGAATGAGATCCTTCTATCAGGAAAGGAATTTGAAAAACCAAATTGAACTGCAGCTTGAAGAATCCAGAGTAAAACAGTTTGGATCTCCATTCTTCCTGGGCTCAAAATTTTAGAGCCTAGGTAGATACGTCCAATTACTTCTCGAAAGGCGCTTAGGCCACACGGTCTCAGAGATTCAGGTTGCTGAGTCATTTGTTCCCAAGAAGATCCTTCTGACAACACGAAAAGCGGCAAAACAGAGCGACAGCCAAGCCTGGACCTGAAGTGGCCAATGACTGGGTTCTCTTCTCCAGCATGGGCAGCCAAGTAAGATTAGCATCCACCGGCCCACCCCCCACCCCCTCTACAACGGTAATGCCCGGACATCCACACACCTGGAAACTCTTACAGGGTGGGGAGTCTCCCCCCAATGCTCTGGAGACTGACTGGGGTTGTTTTTGGATACTCACAGGTCCCCACTGAAGCAAAGCACATAGCTCCCAACATTTTCCTGCCCCACAGACCCAAAAATACTTCCAAGACCAGCTGAGATACTAACCCACTGAACCCTACAAGCCCAGGCAGACCCAGGGAGTCTCGGGTTCCCACACCGCTACATTCACAGACGGTAGACCCACAAAGGTTTCTGACAACCTTACACGGTATGAGCCTAGACCTGACCAGAAGCGAGACATATATTCTCACTCCCAGGCAGCTCACTCATCAAGTATATCACATCAAGAACTTTGCAACTTCCAGGAAGACGAGTGAGAATAAGAGACCAGGCAGCCACCTTACCCACACCCACTTCCCAAGCAACCTTCTTTAAGCAACTACTCTGGGCCAAGGTTTCATCCAGCAGAAAGGACCACGTGGAAGACAAGCATGGCACTACACAGTTTTTAAAGAAGCCCAGAGCATCTGTGCCAGGCTCCCAGCGGGGGGGGGGAAAGTGGTTCAAATTCACACCTTCTGGGTTCCAGGGTGGAGCATGCCAATGAAGAAGTCACCTACTGGTCTGATGACCAAAGGAATGTGGCCTTGATGGCACTGAAGCAAGTCCCCCAGAAGGGTCCTCTGCTTACTTCCATCCCATTTGCCGTAGTTTCCTTCTCCATGGAAGAAAAACATGCCTAAGTTCATGTCAGGACATTCCTGATTTATCCAAGAGCCCAGGATCAAATAAACAAAGGGCTCTGAGTTCTGCCAGGGAGCCTCCTCCTTCAGGAGGGAGAACGAGAGGGAAGTAGACTCAGCACAGAGCTGGCCCATCACCCTGTGGACTCGGTGAATGACGTGGCTGCTCACTGCCATGGCGATGGAGATGTCACGGGTGGGTGGAGAGGAGAGGCAAACAAGTCGTGAGAGACGGAGCGGGAGTGAGGCAGGGTCAGAGGAGGGACACGCACAGCCACGGCATTTGTAGACAGAGGCCGAATGTGGTCTACGACCACAGCAAAACCGAGCTTGAGTCCGGGAGAGAGAAGTCCCCATCTCGGGGGTGCGGCATGGACCAAGAGCGATTTGCACGGCATTGTGACAACACTCTGTTTCGGGAGGCTTTGTTTCGTTTCACTTTGCATCTAAATCTTTTTCTTCCCACGACCCTGTTACCCGTCTCACAGTTTTACTAGGTTTAAAATAATCATTTTAAGTACCCAATTCTACGTCTTCCCTTTATTAACCTGATTCTGCGGGGCGCTAAGTGCAGAAAAACCCGAATGGGATGACCAGGAAGCAGAAATGAATTCAGTTCCAGAAACACGGGAGGATGTTTACTCAGCAGGCATGCTCGAACCTACAAGGAAGCAGTTTTACAGGGTGCTGCGTGCAGTGTTTGATTTCAGGGGGCAAAGATAACTCTGGAGCGAGGAGAAGGTGCTGGCTCCTTCCACTCACCTTTGGCGGCCTGGGGAGGCCAGGCCAGTGCCAGCTGGGAAAGGCAGGGCTTCAGCTGAAGCCCAACAGGCCGCTGGCTCTCTTCAGCTTCTCGGCAACTACAGGCCTCAGAAATTAAACAAACTCTCCAGACATCGTGAGCTCTCCGTGGCCTCTGGTTGATCTGGGTCAAAACTTTGAAATGCCAAAGACGAAATTTTTTTTTTCTTTAAAGGGAATGAGCTGAACTTTGACCCTCCTTTGTCCTGGGTGTGGAATGCAAGCACTCTGTACCGGCCACAAACTCCAGTTCAGTGGGCACGGGCCAGGAACACAGGCCTCGCGCCCTCTCCGTCCTGTCTCCTCACTGGGGCTGGCTCTACGGGGTCTCCATCTCTACTCAGTGAGAGAAACCGTGCTCTTAAGACAGGGGAGCTGTCCAGGGGACGGATTCCAAACTCTGCCTGGATATCCAGAGCTAGAGTGGATGTTCTAGATACAACAGGCAGCAATCCAGTCTCAGGCGGAACGGACAGGCCCAGTCCATAGCAAGATGGCATTTCTGTTTGCTGTCCGGGAGCAGGCGGACGACAAGCACTTGGTGACCCTAGGAAGTAACTCATTTATTAAGTACCTACTGCGTGCTAAGCCAACATACAGCACAGGAGAAGTAGAGGACAACAGGCCAGCACCTCAGACATACGCATCCTAGCTGAGGACCCTGTAAGGATTCCCAAATCTGCATTGTTGAGATTTCAAAAATCCGTGCTCTCAAAGCTAAAACCCACTTTCAGCTTTGATAGTGAAATAATAGCAAACATAATGGTTGGGTTCCCAGGCTAGCCCACAAAAGCCTATTTTATCCACTTCGGGAAGTTTCCAACTCCAGTGCCTTCGGGGTCCAGGCAGGTAATAATGGAGTGAAGCGGGCTGGGGCGGGGATGTGCCAAGTGGAAGGAACATGTCACTGCCAACCGAGAGCCCCTCCCCAGCTCTGCGCGCTCGGGGCTATCTGGGAGTGGAGACCCAAAGAGCCTAGGTCCTCCAGTTTTTCAGGACAAGGCAGAAAACTAGCTTTATTACATTAATCTCTTGATTTTTAAACATTGTCAAGATATTAAAAAAGTCAAATCATACCTACAGAGTTTCCAGTTTGTTCTCCTGGTCATAATGTATCCAAAATACAATATGTTTGCAATGAAAAAGGGGATAAAGCACTCCCAGGTGAGGA